TATCTTGACGAAAATAAGAAGTTTGTCCAAACAAGGGTTGTTTTTCTTCTCGGCAAAATAATTCAGCACATCCTTCTAATTCAGCGCATCCTTCAAAGTACAGAAAAATACAGAAAATCATCTAGAATTCTTTGAAGGAGGATTGGTTTGTTTCAAATAAATGTAATTTGTATAATGACCATCAAGAATTCCAATTATTTTGTGATGAGCAAGAACATTGAATTGATATTCATTTCTCAAATTTCTACAGTAAATTTTCAAATATTACTGAATAAAGTCGTAATTGTCCTCCAATTTGCAACACATTTTGGGTGTCGCTGACGTCTGTGTGCCGTAGGCTCTTGCTACAAATCCATGGCTGAAAATCAGTGACTGCCTTCACACTCTTGATGATGTTTTGGAGCACAGTGTTTTTCAGATGGACAGTATCGTGATAAACTTTTCCCACAAAAATTTATTAGTTTACCAATTTCAGATCATTATAAAAACCTATGAATGTTAATATTTCTATACTGTTGAATTGATAACGAATGAAGCTTCAAAACTTGTTTTTGAATCAACTTGCTTTCCAAGGTACTTTGTCCAGATTTTCAATCAATGATAGAACTAACTGTATTCAATATGTTGCATGCAATTTAAATCAAATATGTGGAACATGCCTACATTGCCTGACAATATATTTCTAATCTTAACAATTCATTTACCTAGTCCTTCTGCAAATCCTAAAACAATTCTGCATATCACAAGTGAAGTGATACTAGCAGCTAAAAGTGGAGTTATGAAAGTTGCAATACTCCAGAGTAATACACTGCAAATCAAAACATTTTTTGCTCCCAATTTAGTGGCCCAAAAACTACCTAAAATTGAATATATTTGTAATGATGGACAGAAAGTCTTTGACCAATATATACCTAATATTTGACTAGTAAAATATCCGAAAGCAAAGGCTGAAAGTATCCATCCCTGAGAGTGCAAGGTCCAGTTGAAAATATCAGTCATAGGTACAATTGCTATGGGCATTATTACTCTATCAGCACTGTTGATGAAATTTGCAAAACTGCATAAAGCAACTATCCTAGATGTTCTGGTCCAACGAATTCTTCCCATTTTTCAGTTTGGATACTTCTCAAATGAAATTAATGAATAGGTTTTCTCTACAATTTCGTGGATCTCTAGTGAACATTCTGGATCAAGATTGTAATCAAACAGGTTAGTTGTGTTTTTTAATTTTCATGCTGAACATCTGTAATCACAAGCTGCTGATGTCAAAGAAAAAATAAAAATATATTGTTGGTTATTTTTTATCAAACTTAAACACAAATCAACAGTCAACACAAAGTGACGAGCACGTACAATGTTGCCAGTATGTCAGCTAGCAGTGTTGCCAACTGGATGAACTATAAAGTTGCTACACATGCTCCAAAATTCCGCTACACTGCTTCATATTCCGCTACGCTTGTATATCTGACGCAATCAGTTCGCGCATGCGCCCTATCCAAAAATGTAATACCACAGAACTTGTAGTTTGTGTACCGTTCAGATACCACAAACTTGAACTTTCACTAATGTCAGGAATCAAGATCATGCTAATTTTCAACCGCGCAACTCAGTAAATGGTACCTAATTTTTTAAATTTGCAACAGTTAATTTTTGAAAGCTGTCGTCTCTACCAAATATTTCCTAATTTGAAATAATTGAGAAATAATTCTCAATGTTGAGAAAAAGTCCCGTTTCCGTCAATTACAACTGCGGTAGATCTTTCGCTCGAGCTACAATCAGATGAACTATCTTCTATTTCCACTGTAATTTGTTCCATATAATTTATAATACTCGAAACAGTCGAGACTTTTAGTTTCAAAATATTGGAGGTTATAAGGTTTATTAAATGAATGAAAATATCCAAAAATATTCGTCTCTTTCATCATGTAATGGCCTCAGCTACTGAGACTATAACGTATTGACTGTGCATTAAATTATTATACAAGTGTCAGCTTCAAGTGCTGTTCACTGCCTCTTCTTCCATATGTTTTTAATATTAATTATTCGTAGAAAATTCCGCTACTTTATGTTCAAATCCGCTACGCCGCTACCGTCGAGTAAATTCCGCTACGGTTGGCAACTCTGTCAGCTAGTGCACTTCCAAATACCACCGTATAGAAGTAAACACCAAATGCTAATGCCTGTATTCAATTCGCCGTTTTCTCTGTAAAGCGAAGCTTGCGTAAGCCCGCTTAAAACTCAAGCCAAGCTTAAATTTTTGCGGTATGCACCACAGAACAATAAATGTTTACGCGTCAATTCTCAAATTACGAGAACCGAATGTTAGGTGAATTTAATAAAAATTGGGGTTTAGATGATTCACTTTTACCTTGTTGTCGAAAAGTATCAGAATAAGACAAAAGAACATACTCATTAGTGAATGTTCATATATTACAAGCGAAATGAATGGAAAAGTAAGGGTTCCAAACTTTACCTCAACGGAGAATTAATTTTTGCAAGTCAATCATGGCCCCCTGTATTGCAAATGAAGATCTAACTGACCACGTATAGAGTGCGAACTTAAAGGCGATTGAGGATACGGTGCATACAAAATTGAAGCGTTAAGCGAGCTTACCCCTTAAGCTTCCCTTACTGGTATACGGCGAATACGGGCATAAGTTAAGCATAAGTGAAGTTTAAGGGGTAAGCTCGCTTAACGCTTCAGTTTTGTATGCACCATATCCACGAACCTCATCAGAACCTCACTTTTTATTCTTTAGATTTGGAAATAGTGTAAGTGTCGTTTTGCTGAAATGTTTTAGTGAACGGACTTGTAAAATTGAAATTAGTTGTTGCATAATGATGGAACTGGAAGATGAAATCATGCTGGAAGACGATAATGGCCATCTTACACATCATTGATTTTGGATATCCATGAAGAATTATTTCACTTAAGTTGTTTTACTTTTGAAATGTACTGATAATGAAAGCCTCAATTGACGATTGGGTCATTTTCACTGAATTGTTCAGAACTTATTCTGTAAAAAAATATTTTTTAATAAATTGCTACTTTACTAACCTACGTTGTAGTAATATATTTCGAACGTTTATATTATTCATTTTTTTTTCTAATGCCATCTTAACTTTATGTTTTCTTGTTAACAACTTATCCTTAAAATTCTCTATATACAGGATGTAACAATGAATCAGGAACACATCAAAGACGTGTCGGACAGTAGCCGGTTGGTTTGCGTGAGTGATTCTCTTTCAACCAACCGCTCTGTAAACGATGATTTGATTTCATATGTGAGATTCTCAATTTTCACTGCGTTCGGTCTAAACCGCACTAGAAATCACAATAACTTCGACTTTTGAGGGTTTTGATTTGCAAGGGACGATATATTGTTATGAGATGAACACATTTTAATGCACCAATCGGATTATATCTGTTTGATAAAGTACATAAACGAATTAGATAAAACATATCCTGTGTTTATTCTCAACACATACAAAAAATATCTCCCCCACTATTTCAGTCGTATCCGATATTGCCTCGCCCTCGCACCTACTGACATAGTGATCTATCAACGCACAGCCCAAACCACTGGACGGATCGGGCTGAAATTTGGCATGCAGGTATATGTTATGGCGTAGGTATCCGTTAAGAAAGGATTTTGATCAATTCTACCCCCAAAGGGATAAAATAGGGGATGACAGTTTGTATGAAACTTTGTCAATTTTAAACCGATCGGGCTGAGACTTTGCATGCATAAAGCTACGTAGGCATCCCCTAAGAAAGGATTTTGATAAATTTCACCTCTAAGGGGATAAAATAAGGGATGATGGAGGATGTAAATGTATTAGTTTGAACCTATCAGTACCTAATGGAGCGAATAAATTAAGACGAACAAAATAATTTTCAGTTCTAAATGTTGACCAGAGATGGCGATAGTAGTATTGGCAATTGGCATTTGTTTTGTTTTCATATGGTTTAAGTATAGGTTTTGTCGGTTAGACTTTTTTAAAATGGCTAAAGAAAATCTGAACGTTAATGGAGAAGTTGAAGTATGTACTGTCACAGAACACCCTAACTACAAAGAAGCGTAACTGAAAGGCGGCACTTTGATCTTCAAGGGGCGATTTTTCGTGTCCTTCCCCCACTCCTTAGTATTACATCTGTCAGCGGCAAATTTGAATTGAATAAAATTGATGTAGTTCTGGGTGTACCTACTTCAGCAATCGAGTGGAAAATATATTCAGGGATTCCTTCTGAACTGACTTTTGTAAATTTGGACAAAAAATCCTGTATATTTTTCCCTATTATTCATAAGAAAATATTCGAGAATCTAAACTATCGCAACATAACTGAGTCCGGTAGATTTCTTTTTTAATTAAGATTACCCATTTATACCCATGGTATATTGGTTCATTAATTATGGCAATCTCAGTACCATATAGGTCGTAGTCGACAGCAAATATCATTAAACGATGAAATTGGAACCTTTGGTATACACTTTTTTTAGAGATCAATTACCGTAACAAATTTGCACTCGACTTGCGTTTCGCTAAGAGGTTAGTATCTTCAGAAGAAATTTGATGCTAAATCTAAAGACAGGAGTAGTTGTTTATAAAATAAATAGCGAAATAGACACAATTTTGATAGTATTGGCCCATTGCTGACTGGATTGTAGGTATCCGATTACAATATGCCATACATTGGGCCGACATTTTGCCTATGTAGCTTTGCCGTTGCCAGCGTATTGCCGACCGATCATGCATTGGGCCAGAAGACGGCCAGAGATTCATTGTTTGCTGGGAAGTGATAATAAAATATGTTATTTGAAAGGAAGAAATAATACAAATATAATACAATCATATATTAGAAAACTGATTGTCCAGAGAACTCACAAATGGAAGAAAACATACTGTTACAAAGAACAATGAAATTTTGTTGTGAAAAATCATAAATGAGAAAGAATGGATATTTTTCTGTTTTTCTTCGTTCCCTTCTCAGTTTTAAATTCTCTATTAGCAAATTTTAAACAATAAAATATTCGTAACCTGAGAAAGAGAGTAACAACATATTTTTTTGGGAACTCAAGACATGGATGATTTAGTTGCACGAATATCAGTTTTTCAAAAAGATCATGAGATACTCTGTTTCCCAAACACACTTTCCTGAAGTTGGAACTGAACAATACTTCTAGATTGTAAATGAATTCAATGAACATATCATTCGGCGTTTTAAGACCTCCTTAAATACTTTTTTTGTTATCACATGCTTTAAAATGAGTAAATAATTTTGCAAAATCCAATTCTTCACAATCCTTGGACATTTTTTTGACAAATAGAACAAGAATGAACATTCAGGACTTTTTTAATTAAATATCCACCAACATATGTGAAGGCATTCTGTTTCGGTAGCTCCTCATTACGATAGCTATATTCCCCAACAGTAAGTGCACTGTAGATCGGTTGCTCTGGCAGAACAGCTTGGACGTTATTATCAAGTTCAGATTGCTTCAACTCAGTCAAGAGAATATCCAAATCATCCATACAGTTTGTGTTACCATTGTTGAAATAACTCTGACAGAACAGTTTTGTGAAAACTCTTTCAAATTGAATGGGAGTAGGGTTCACAGAGTTACCTCCTTGTTGGCGTACACTACCAAAGAAGTTCTCGATACAATCCTGGTTCACCCTCCTTGTTTTCAAATATTTGAATCCAGACAGTTTCAATGTGTCCCAGAGTTTCGGTATTCCATTTATAGTGATCTGCCAACAATTTATAAAGTTGATGGTGGAGGTTATATCATCGCCTTTTTGATTCAGTATGACCAGTTCTTTTAAAAATATCTTCATTTCTTCAAGAAACTTTGTTTGATAGTCTGCTCCTTCAAATACATTTTTCCAAGCATTAGGTAAATTTTTTACTGAGGAATTCAGTATATCAAAGAGATTATTGAATTTTTCTATAACTTGAATGGTATGCATGGCGTCACCAGAGAGTGCACCTAAACTCACATGAGTATTCATACCACTTGCAACTGTGTTGCTCAATACTTGTAAAGCAAATTTCACTTTCATTCTCTCAAAATTATTCGGAGAAATATGTGAATCGGTAAGTTTAGGTACACATCTAAAGGTTTCTTCCTTATCTTTTTCATAAAATGATTTTATATATGACCAGGAGGTCTCATTTCCATCAAAATAAAAAGTATATTTCATGAGATTATTTCTTGTAGCCTTCAATATATGTGGAGTATTGAAAATATAAATGATTTTCTTATTCGCAACAAAGAAAACAGGCTCATCTGGAGTTATGCCAAATTATCTGGACAGTTTTGTGAAATTTGATCCCATATCTGT